GAGTAAAACAAGCCTAAATTAAAGTGTGGCTAACGTTATCAGCCTTGGCTCCTCCCACATTAACGCCCACATACCTGCAGAATGTGGTTACACACCTGCAGCCACCAGACCTGCACATGCTTCACAGACAGCCTGAATAAAGACTGTTGCGACTGCTTTGTCTGGCTGACGTCAGGGTGACTGAGGTCAGATGACCTTCGTAAAGACGAGTTATGTTCATGCGCTCGACTCTGCGCTGACTCACCCGAGGCCGCAGGCGCCTCCTCCTCGCCTCCAGGGTGGCACTCCGTGTTGGTGCGTTTGCTCTTGGGGATGACCCGCTTCTTGAAGGAGGTCCAGATCTCGTTGGCGTGTTGTGTCACCGTTCCACCTGCTGCCGCCGCCTTCTCCTCCTCACCTCCTTCTGCTTTCTCCTTCTCCTCCCCTCCCTCTGTCTTGCCCTCCTCTGCTTCCTCTCCTCCCTCAGCTCCTGCTGCAGGCTCCTCGGGCTTGGCGTTTTCAGCGGAGTCTTTGTCGGAGCCCTTGGCCTTGCCGCTGATGCCGGACATGGAGGTGTCCCTCTTCAAGCCCTGGAAGGTCCAGGAGCGTTTGAGCTTCCACCTCTTCTGGCCTGACTCTTTGGAGTCAAGTGTGGAGGAGTCTCCGCCACCTCCTTCTCCCTCTGCTCCTTCCTCTTTCCCATCCTCACCTCCTCCAGTCTTCTTGTGTGCCTTCTGAGCCATGAGCTTCTTGAAGGAGTGCCAGCGCTTCATGTGCTTCGTGGTTGCTGAAGAGGCCGAGGCTTTCTGTTCTTCTTCTGCACCTCCCGCTGCTCCTCCTTCCTCTACGATGGAGTCTGCAGTGGTGTTAAGTGCTTCGGGATCTTCCAGCCGGTCCAGAGACTTGGACCGGACCTTTACTGGTTTCTGGGGCTCTGCAGCGGCGCCCTCCTTCTTCTCAGTGCTGCGATGGGAGAAGATTCTCGCCACAGGCTTCCTGATCAAATCTCGAACTGTGGATTTCGCCTCCGCTGCTTTGCTCTTCTCCGCTTTCTTCTCGTCTTCCTTCTCTCCATTTTCCGCAGCCTTCTCTGTCGCCGCCTCACCTTCTGCACCTCCTTCCGCTCCTCCCTCTGCTGCGGCAGCTTCCTCCCCTCCTTTGTCGGCCTCTTTCTCCCCTCCTTCAGCCGCGCCCTCCTCGCCTCCAGCCGCGGGGGCGCTCTGCTCTTTCTTCTTCCTTCCACCCATCACCTTTCCCAGGCCGCTCTTGTTGAGGAAGGAGTCCAGGAACGAGGTCTTGGGTTCAGAGGAAGTGGTGTTTTCGGAGCTCTGAGGCGGCGGCGCATCCTCGCCTGCCGCCGCGGCTCCCCCCTCCTCAGTTCCCACTGTGTCCGCCACCGCTGTGTCGTTATTCACAGTCTCTTTGTTTTCGACAACCTCGCTGTTGACGGCTGTGCCGTCTTTATCGACAGCCTCGTCTTTGACAGTCTCTGAGCTTGTGTTGGCGTTTTTGGCCGCTTGCTCCACCTCTGCTGGCTTATTTTCGGTGCTTTTTCCATCTTCCTGGACCACCGGTGCTGTGCTGGCCTCCGTTGCCGCCATCTCAGAAAGGGAAACCAAACAATAACAACAAAAAAGTCTCTTCCTTCCGGCCTGCCTTTCTTCCCTGGCCTTCTGTCCTCCTCTTCCTCTCTCTCTCTCTCTCTCTCTCTCTAGTGTTTCGTTCCTCCCGCTGTGGTGGCGCTCTCAGGTCATGGAGAGCAGGGTTGAGAGCAGTGGCGAGGAGGAAAGATACTCAGCATCCTACTAGACCTCCAAACTCCTGCAGGAGGAAAAAAGGGAGAGAGAGAGCGAGAGACAGATGGTTAATAGTCTGAAGCAACACAATAGGCGCTCGATGAGTCTGGTCTGGACTGTGCACCGAATGAGGAATGAAGTTAACATGATAAGGAATCTCAGCAGGACACAAAATACAGGCATGTTTCCTAATCACACCCACTAACCTTACCCTAACGGTAACCCTGACACTAAAACCACATATTTTGTCTCAAAAACTCCTTCAACTTGTGCGACTTGGATTTTGGTCCCTACAAGTACAGTAAACTTGCAATTTTTGGTCCACACAAAGATATAAACACACCTTGAAAAGGATGAAATGCAAAACCGACAGAAGTGGAAGGCCTCG